GAGACATGGCTTAGCAGCAAAGACAGAAACAGCACATATTCCATACCAAATTATACTATCTATAGATTGGATCGTAAGCACCGCCCAAAGGCTGAGGGTGGCAGGATGAAAGGTGGAGGGGTTGCTATGTACATCAGAGATTCTGTTAGTGGAATACCAATTGTTGCACGAATTAACAAAAGATACACCATTGACACCGTCGAAGCTCTATACATTGATATTCAATTTCATAATTATCATTTTCTGGTGGTTGGAGTCTACAGAAATGATCATGGCGATTTGTGGAAGTCACGTGACTCTTTGATGCTATCAAACCTAGCCGAAGCCTCAAACAACAATACCGTCGTGGTCGCTGGTGACTTTAACTATAGCGATCTGCACTGGCCTCTTCAGCTTGAACAAAAGACGACTTGAGCCAGCGAACTATTTAAAGACATGTTCTTTGAGAGCAGCTTACATCAACTTGTTACTGAACCAACTAGATTTCGCTCTGGACAAAATCCATCACTTCTTGACCTCATACTGACAAATGATGAACATCTTATTTCCGGTATATCTTACCATGCACCAATTGGAAAAAGCGATCATTGCGTCATTGAATTTGATATCCAGTGTCATGTTGCACCAACCAAAACTCAGGAAACTCTTAGAAGAAACTACAATAAAATTGATTTCGACTTGTATGTGAACTTGAATCAATGCCTCAGGTAGATGACGTGGAAGTTGGTTGGAGTGAACTTCAGTCCCGAATTGACATTACTATCGATAAACATGCACCTTTGAAAGTAGTAAAAAAGAAGGTCACTAACAAACCCTGGATATCACCTGAGGTGAAGAAACTAGCGGCTGATAAGAAGACACTCTGGGATATTTACATGACTACCAAGGCGCCTACCGATTACGAGACATATAGGATTGCCAATAATAAATGTGTGGCTGAGACACGTAGACGTAGGGGCCAGCATGAATCTAGAATTCTGGACAATGGTGATAAACCCTTCTACTCTCATATACGCAGCTGCATGACTGGTAGAGTCTGTGTCCCTCCTGCAGTAAAAAACTTTAATGGAGATCTCGTTACATTGCCTGCTGATATCGCTGAAGCGTTTGTTGAGGAATTTCAAAAAGCATATTCTCATGAGCCACCTATTTACCAGCATCCAGAAGTTTCAAGGTCAGCACGGATTGATGCGTCACTGTCTGATTTTCTTATTACTGAAGATGACGTACTAAAGGCAATTAAACAATTGGATGTCAATTCTTCATCAGGGCCTGACAATATTCCGGGACTAATTCTTAAAAGCTGCGCAACCGTTCTAGCACCAATCCTCACTAATATTATGAATAAATCACTACAGACGGGTATAGTACCTAAGGCATGGAAACATGCAATTGTCACACCTGTTTTCAAAAATGGTGATAAGACTGATTCTGCTAAGTTTAGACCGATTAGTCTTACTTGCATTCCCTGCAAGATTATGGAAAGAATCATATGCAGCAGGCTTACACATTTCCTCAACAGACATAATGTCATATCTGTTCGTCAGCATGGATTTGTTGAAAAGAGATCTACAGTAACCAATCTACTTTCTTCAGTTCATGCCTGGGCGAAGGAACTAGATAATCGCAATCCAGTTGATGTCATTTACCTGGACTTTGAGCGCGCATTCGATAAAGTGCCTCATCAGAGACTCCTAATCAAACTAGAACATTTTGGTATCCGTGGCTGTCTTCTTAATTGGATAAAAGACTACCTTACAGACAGAACCTTCCAGGTCAGAATTGGCACCTCGCTTTCGTCCAAAAGGAATGTTTTAAGTGGTGTTCCACAGGGATCAGTTCTCGCCCCTACGCTGTTTGGCATTTTTGTTACGGACTTGATTAGTCTCATTGAGTCCCAGTCGTGCTTTTTTGCTGACGACGGCAAATTTTCGGAAACCCCTTATTAGAAGCTAATAAATTGCAGGCTGATATTAACCAACTTCTAGAATGGACCAATCAATGGATTGTCAAACTAAATATTGCGAAGTGCTCTGTGCTACATCTGGGCACCAACAACCCTCAAGTTGATTATACCATAGATCAGCAAAAAATTGCAGCAACAGATTCTCAGAAGGATCTAGGAGTTCTCATGACAAAGGACCTTAAATGGAGTGATCACGTTAGCATGGTCGTTAAGAAGGCAAACTCATTCTTGTATGTTATCAGGCGCTCTTTTCAATACATCACATCAGATGTCTTCATAAAAATATACAAAACATATGTCAGACCATTACTTGAGTATGCTGTCCAAGTGTGGAATCCGTACCTGGCCAAAGATATCGACTTACTAGAGAGTGTGCAGAGGAAAGCTACAAAGATTCCCTATAATCTAAGAAAGAAGTCCTATGAAGAGCGGCTTGAGATACTGCAGCTGACTACCCTGACAGAAAGAAGGCTTAGAGGAGACTTAATTGAAACTTACAAAATTCTCACTGGTCTGTATAAACCTGCCTATGCAAGAGATATTCACGCTAAAGTCATCACGCTTTCATCGAGGCCACTCCCTTAAGCTGAACCGTTCGCACTCAAATACCAATGTCGCTTATCACTATTTATCAAATCGCATTGTAAATGTATGGAATAAACTACCTGATGATGTTGTGTCTGCGCCGTCAGTGAACTCTTTTAAAAATAGACTTGATATTTGGTGCAAAAACAATAAAGACTTTATAAATAAAAATATTCGCGTGTGTAAATAAATAATAAAAATATAACAAATCAATTTCAATAAATAAATAATATATATAACCAACACTGCAAGGACCTATCAGCATATATTGCTGCTTGTCCTATAAATAATAATAATATGTAATCCTGAATACTTGCAGGATCGTCCGAAAATTTCTATCCTTAACTTAAAATTTCTATTATTTTCGCACTTGGCTTCGGCCCGTGCTTAAATTTTTCACCTCTTCGGAGAGATACGAAAACGTATAAACTATATTAATAATAATAATAATACCTAGTGTCTGCGGGGGTGTCAGCGCAAAACAGAGAGTTTACAGAAGATTCACTCGACCCTATTCAGGATTTTAGTTATTGTCTCTTGTTACTTACAAAGAGTTGCCACTGTCAAAAATCTCAAATAATGAGAATATCAAAACAGCAAAATCTGATACAAGAACGTCTTATAAATCTGAGCAAATTTTAATCCAAGAAAGATGACGCTCGTGGCAACCATCTTCTCAGTAAGGTACCCTTCCCCTGGGATTCCAGTTATTTCCAGTTAAAGTCAGAGGGCGTCAAAATCTTCGCTAGTATTGAGTGAGCCATCTGTATTGGTTTCCCTAATTTGTGGTGTCAGCTAGTTCGGCGCCTCTCAGTCGCGCCACGGCGGCGTCTGTATGGATGCCCTCTACGGGCGCGGAGCCAAGGAGTCTTGCCATTAAGGCATTACGCAATTCACTGGGTAAATAACTATAGGATCATCAATAAGGCTTAGGTATACAGGGTGGTACGGAACGACCCACTTTGTCGAAAATGGTGAGCTCAACAAGTCAAACAAAACAACTTTTACTTAGGACTAAAGCTCACAGCCTAAAAAAAATTAGTCCTCCCAAAGAAAATCGCTCGGGTAGCCGATTTTTTGTATGAGAGGTTTAATAACTTGGTTCAATAACTTTGGTCTTTAGGGTAAGTTGTTAAGTTTGACCTGTTGGGAAAGTGGGTCTTTCGGTATATTATGATTATGAGATTTTGGTGGAAGTCTTATTTCACTTTACCTATATTTTAAGACGTGGTTTGTATGATAATATAGCTCCACCCCTACGTACCTACCAAAAACTGTCATACACAGCGGTGAGTTATTTCAATCATCATACTTAATGTGGTTTTTATGATCTCGTTGAAAAGGGTCTCCAAAAAAGCGTACTTAGAACCGTCACAAACATTTCAGTTCTTTTTCACATCTTACTCCTTCAAGGCATCAAAATAAACTAGTAACTTTAGTTTTAGTTAATAAAGTTGATATGCTCCTAGTAGATAGATAGTAGGGTACCGTAGGTACAGTCTCTCACACTAATTCATGGACAATTCTGTTTTTAAGATTTCTGTTCTCGTGCGACTGATATGGGCAAAAACAAAAACTATATTGTAAGATTCAATAAATTTTGCTATACCTAGAATGGTAACAATTATTGATGTCAAATGTTAGGGTCTAAAAAAAAATATCCTTAAATTTTGGACTGTTCATGAGTGAGCAGGAGAGACTGTATGTAGGCATCATACTAGTACGACCATCAGGCTAGTCACGTATATTTTGCGTATCTATAGACAGTTTTTCCCAATGCCAGCTCAAAGACATACAATGTGTCGCAGAAGTTGTCCTTAAAGTCGTCAATTGCTTGTGACAAGGGTCTACTCGGGTCTTACTTTATAGCAGGGATGCGATTTTAATGCCAAAACATCGATTAAAAATAAATCGATTTTATACAAAGAAAACATCGATTTATAAAATAATCGATATTTTCATCTATTTTACTTGATTTCACACAATAATAATGTGTCACAAATACTTATTTTGCCATCGAGACAAAATATCACATTACAAGGTACCTAATGCAACAAGGAACATAATTCATGTAACATAAGACCGGAAATACTTAATTCGTTCGTGCCACAAAAAATCGAAGTTTTGTATTCGGAAATGCAAAAAATCGATTTTAAATCAATTGATTTATTAAAATTAAAAATCGATTTTTTTACGAATAAAAATTGTTTATTTTTCACATCCCTACTTTGTAGTTACTTATAGTAAAAACATTTCCCCTGACTGAAAACCGCCTCAGCGAATATTGAAGCAGGGACGTGCCTTGTTTTCTAATGTTAGTTCTTTTGGAACTGAGTAGTTGTCTTTTAGATGCAATATTTTATTCTATGGTAAACAACTTTTCGGTTGGCAATGTCCTAACTATGCTGTGGACAAACACACAAAGTGATGATAAATATCAGCTACGTGAGTGATCTACCGAGAATCGAACCCGGAACCTTCTGCGTCGCAGGCAGTCGCACTACCACTGCGAATGTTGTAGCTCAAAGCACCTGATTGTCCGAAACAGGGTTGCCAACCTAAAAATTTATTTTCTCGTACACAGGCTCCTAAAAATCTCGTATTTTACGTTTCGAACCTCGTACAACTTTCGACGTGTGGTAAAACCAATAAAATTCGGGTTGGCGAGCGATCAGCATCATCGTTGCTATCACTCATACTGATTTCAGTGAATTCAGACTAAAGTTCATACACCATTTATAGGTTATAACGCAAAGTTATTCTTCTATAAAGTTTGTTTGAAAACAATCCCTCAACGCTCACTTCTGCAAAGACAAACAAAAGTACAAAACTCCTATCTACATGTAAAGAAAGAAAAGAGTATAGATATTTCAGTATGTACGACAGAGACAAATAGTGCAAGAAACAAACGAATGAACCAGCGAGCGAACGAACGGGAACTGTTTCGGTCTCGCTCGGGAATTTCTTTCATACGCAATCGATGACTTTTCATAGACTATGATTACTTGAGGAGCTAAAAATGATTGCCAGCAATTAAAATTATGTAACATGTGAAAATCTCGTACAAAATTGTACGAGATTGACAGTGTCCTCGTACCTCGTACGGGAGACCATAAATCTCGTATTTGTACGAGAAATCTCGTACGGTTGGCAACCCTGGTCCGAAAAGAAAGGCGATTTCGTTCTTTGAAGAGCAAGCCCAGTTGCTGATTACTTAGACGACGACGGTCGTTACACAACCATTTCAGAAGCATGCTGCGTAGTAGGTATGCGGTTGTAAAACTCTTATACCCGGGTTCATCGGATCGTTAGACGACTCGGTGTCCCACACGAAGAAAGAGAGTGAAAGAAAATTGTTTAGTTACGATGTCTATTTTGGTAATGAATTGAAGGTAAAGGTAATGTGTCACAAATTCTACCAAGTTGGTTCTGGGATCAAGCAAATTCATCGCGTGTTAGGTAGCCATTTATGTAACACGTACATCGTTAGCTTAATAGCCCCGGCGAGATTATCTTGGAAATGTATGTACTGTACCTATACTTGCTTACGCAGTTCAGTGTAAGTTTGCAAATATAGGAAAGTGCTAGCAAACTATCCATTTAAGGGATCAGGGTTTACTGGTTTTTCTTAGTATTTGTATATAAATCTAGTATAAAGTGGCCCTTAATTTGGTAGGTGGATGTGCTGGCGATAAACATTAGTAGGTAAGTTACTATTACTTATTGGGTTACTGGGTAAAATTAAAGACTTGGTCGCGAAATATATGTAAAATGGTACCCACCACAGTTAGCCATCTTTTTATTCTGATAGACAGATATTGTTTGAGTTACCCAACCTCAGCCTTATCTAGCCTTATTTAGCCAATAAGTCGTTAATTATTTTGCGCAGAATAGCCCACCCTACATGATAAACATGACAACCCACCCCAGATATTACGATATTGCCAGCCGCCCTCACTCGGGTGGCCAAATAGTGGCAAGGTCATTCGTTGTACGCTATGCAGTATGCCGAGAAACACACCTAACGTCCGTTCGTGCGTTATTTTTGCGCAGTGATATAGCATGCATTACGAAAATGTGGTTCTCCTACTTATTTTACACAAATACGGTTTAACAGAAGCGTACGCTAGCGCTGCGCATCGCACTACGCTGCTATTGTTAAACAGTTTTTTAATTGAGAATAAAGTCGACTCCGCCGTGTGATGCCAGCTTAGAATTTCCTCACCCCAGTTTTGCCCGTGGGTGTCGTAAGAAGCGACTAAGCGAGAAACCATCCACGGAATGGGCAGCAGCGTTCCCTGTCAATGCAACATCTTACACTGCGCTCGCCAATCCGCCTGCCAAGCGTGGGGAGTATGGCAATACTCATGGGAAGGCCCATGTCCAGCAGTAAACTGTTGTGTGGCTGTTATGGTGCCTAACTAAGGTCGAATTTCGTATTGTCCTAACACATGCGCTACGCAGCGCAAAAATAATGTACAGACGGACTTTACGTGTGTTTCTTGCCTATTGTTCTGCTCTGCTACAATATGCAACGCCAATTTTTAGGCAGAAATGAAACGGACCGTAACACTGTTTTCTTTTTCCCGAAACGCGTTGGAATATGCAGAGAATTGGATATCCCATCCCGGCTGAAATACCTGCGAATAGTTGATATTCTACTCGACAGCTGAATGACATATTTTCATTACCTACGTGCGATTGGATTGGATCGGACATCATACGAATCACATCACAGGTGATTGATGATTTTTCAGATTTTCTACGACTACTTTTAATAAATTTAATGTGATTGAAAGAAAACCCCAATGTACCTAATAGATAAATCTTCAATTTACCTTCTAAATCAACATTATTGAATCACCCCATAATCTTTACTAACCTAATTCCGTTTTTTTTCTTCTACATTCCCTTTTATTTACTGGGTCACTTTTTGCAAAATGAATGACCCCGACCTTTTAAAAATAACTACAAACTTAGTCTGCAGTTGTTTGAAGACGCTTTAGTATGAAATTGCAGAACTTTATTTGTTATTTGTATCTCCTGTCTACCGTGAGGTTCTTTGCATTCCAATGCACGCTATCACAGCACGAAGGCCAAGAGTTCATTTAAAAGTTTCCTGCAGTCAAATAGGAAGTCTAGGTCTAGCTCTAGGTCATTTAGTAGGTTAAGGCTTCCATTATTTTTCTGTTATGCATTTCTTATTAAACTTTTTAAAACAAAAGACGCCGTGTTTACTCTTTGCAAACCATAAACTTACTAATGCGACTATTATTGCTATAATACACCAAAGGGAAATAAAAATTAGGACTTTGAAAGGTTAGGGACATCAAAATTAGGACTAAAAATAATTACAAACAATATTTAGGACAAACAAATATTTGGACAATCGAATATAAGAATAAACGTGTTAGGACGAACGACTTAACGACAATTAACCCTAAACAAAAGGGACCTCTCAAGGAGTAATAGGTTTTTTCTTTCACTGTCGTCGCTCTAAAACGGAATCTCATCATCACACTCAAGTTCTCTTGAATCCTTCCCTGCTTGCGTCATGTTGTCAGCACTAGGTACATTCTCGATCAAGTGCGATCACATCACATCCAATCTGCTCAGCTGTCATGTCATATTGTGCAGACTGTACACACACTGCATGTAGTAGAAGCTTAGTGGACAGATAGAGCAACGAGCCGATGGAAGACCGCGGTTTGTATGTTGTTAATGTGATATAGGGGACATTGTCTTGTATCCGTGTGGGATAAATTAATCATATAAGATTTTAGACGGGAATCATATGATGCGTCCATAAACGCACTATTTTAACGCTGCGGTAGGAAAATGCGAATTTCATTTCCATACAAATATTGTTTAGTTTCGTACCATACGCGCGCGAATACGATTTGTTGTTTCGCGCCATTTCGTCTGACGGACCGCGCGGCCTGTGACGTTGACGGTCCGGCCGGCGCCATCTTACATTCCTCTCGTCCCGTGTGCGCTCGCGGCCGGTGTTAGGCCTATTTTAATGTAATTTTAGTGTTTTTCTTATTCGTGTGTGCTATTTCCACCAGGGAAGAGTTCCCTGTTCGGTGTGGAAGTTAACCCTAGACAATTTCGGATTTTGCGCTGGATTTCTTGTGCTGGGAGAAATCCTTTGTTATTCGCGTCTTGAACAGCGAACGTTTTTGCTGTCGCGAACAATAGTGAACAATAGTGTTGTGAAAATTGTTGGAGAGTACGATCACGAGCTGGTATCCGGATGCCGTGAGTCTAGTGTATAAGTTCCTATCCAAACGTGCTCCAAAATCCCGATACCTGTTTTTCCTGTCATAACTAGACTCACAAGGGAACGGCGGCGTCATAGGTACTTACCGCAAGGTGAGCAATTCGCTGGTAGTTTTGTATAAGTACTTTATTTGTAGTGATTAGCAACATTACGTGGAGGTCACCAACTTGATGACCTTTAATACAACCGGAACTTTGGTGCATTTACTTTAGATATGAGCTGCGGTAGTACAGTAAAATATTAGTCATCTTGTAGGAGATTAAGGGCCGTCGCAGACATTGGGAAACAGAAATTTCTCGAACAGAAATTTCTCGGTACAGAAAATTTTCCCATTAAATTTATTTTATTTAGCTATAGTAAAGAGCACTACGAATCGTAGTCAAATGTTGTTCCGAGGCTGATCGACCATTTAGTTTTAGATTTTAAGATAACTTTAATTTGCTTCCACTGCGCTAAGATCAGCTTCGGAATCAAACAAGGATGCTGCGTATCGCGACACGCTGCGTCGACGGATGCTGTCAAACTTTTTTGACATAAACGGTATTTTATCAAGGAAATTCGTATTGTTCTAATGCATGAGTTATGCAGCTCTAAAATAATGCAGCAACGGGGATGTTAATGCCCTTATGAAAATGATTTCTAGGTACATTAAAAAAATTCAAGCGAATTATAGCGACGTTTCAAAAGTTCGAACCAAATATTATTTCGACCATGACGTCCAAACTTGGAAACATCAGCGTATTGCAGACGTGCGTGGACCCTTAAAGGATTGATGGTGAACCGTGTTACCTCATCAGTCAGTTTCGATTGCCGCGATTTGTTCACAGTCTGTGGTAATAATTCACGACCCACCAACGACCTCTTATTGATATGGGATAGCTATAGTAGGTATTTTACTTTACGACGTATTTTTCCACGCACTTGGTGCTTTTTGATATCTCTTGATAGTAAAATTTCATAACAAGTCTTTCTACTTATTACGATATTATACTGAGACGAAAAACAGACGTAACGTTGGTTTGTGCGTTATTTTTGCGCAGCGTTATCCGTTGCGTATAAGAAATACGATTTTTTCACCCTAATATCATACAAATTCGGTTTATGTCAAACGGTTTAACAGATGCATCCGCCAGCGCAAAAATATCGCACTATGGTGCGTTGACGGAGTCATCTGTCAAACAGTTTGACATAAACCGTATTTGTATGACAATAAGGGCGAAATTCGTATTGTCCTAACGCATG